TAATGTCTTAGAAAAAAGACTGATGTAGCTAAAACACACAAACATTTTTTTTATAAGCCCACAGCAGAACTTCTTTAAAACAACTTATTTACCAAATAAATGTGTACCTGTGATGATAGGCTCATCATCAATTTAAGAAACCATGGAACCCAAGTACGAGATAATATTGACAGAACAGCCAAAAATGCAATCAACAACACCAGCCTGGAAACAAGAGTAAGCATATTACAACAGATAAATAGCTTTACTGTGCCTGAACACACATGCACGTATACATTCTAACTCCAAAGAAAAAGGTTGGCAACTCATGATAATTAATATTTACTTACACTTTGGTCATGGACATTAGTCCTTGAAGAACACCGGAAGTTCCACATAGAACAGGAAGCAGTGCAAACAGCAAACCAACTGCACAGTCCTGAGAGGTAAAAAAATTCCAAAGTTGTAAGTGGTGGAAGGAAGGAAAGTTCACATAGATAACCTGAGTGCCAGAAAATGTTAATGGAACTCAGCAAACAGAAGTGAGATTTGAAGGATGACTGTAAAGAACCCAACCTGCAAAATTAGAGTTCCAATGGTGACTTGCCCATGAAGCGAATTAATAGAATTCTTTTCCATCAAGAACTTCAATACCTGCATCAAACCATGCAACTTTGAGATCATTGCATTACATTGTGAATTCTATAATGAAAGCGAAGGTTCAAGTGACTCATGATACATTAGGATAAGGTTTTTACCACTGCTGTTGAAGACATGGAAAGGAATGCACCAACAAACACACCCTCTGAAGACTTACCACCGCATAACTGCAAACAGCATCCAATCAGAACTGCAGCATCAAGAATGAATAACTCTGTGCAGTATACTCTACTTGCCAAGAAAATATAAGAATGCAACATGCTCTGCAGCAAAACCAATGGCATAGTACCTCTGCTGTGTGCGCACCACAATGACAGGTACAAACTAGAGGTTTTATCACCAGTGGGTTAACATAAAGAATTCAACTTCAAAACTTTTGTGTGATAGAAAAGATGCACATTTGGTCCAATTTTACAATGAAACCATGCAGCAACTACCTTAAACACTGAATTGGGAACCATGAGGCAGATTTGAACTATAATCCCTTTACCACACAAGGTATGAAACTGGTATGGCAGGATTATCTTTAGCAAAAACTCATTATGGTCAAAGCCTGATGCCAGAATCTAAGAGCCAAAAATTATTGAATGGGAAAAACAAAGATGATGCTGTGTTGAATATGGGATCATTTCTATAACTGTTGTTCATTTCAAATTGTCAGTTTCTCAGCCAAAAATTGCATATGTTGAATCATTTCTTATTTCTTCTCATAGATGTTTTCTAGAATGCGATGTCTGGTTCCTTGTGATTGGTTAAACAATCAATTAGTGTATACTTTGGTAAAAATGGTCTTCACATATTAACGAAACTCAGCAATATAATCGCATATAATTTCTGAAACAATAAGTAGATAATCATACCATGGCTGTAATGCCACATAAGAACATGAATAAAACAATTTCAAGCAGACCTCCTACAACAGCAACAGCCCGGACAACTCGAAGCTGAAATTGAAGAAGATGAACTTTGAATATAATATTGATGAAAAAACAAAAATTGAAGAAGAAGGTCGAGAACTAACCTTTGTTGTTGAAAACTCCAAGCCCAAGGCAAAAAGAAGAAAAATAACACCAAACTGAGCCACCGTCTCAACCTGACATATGAAAAACAAGCGAATTGTAAAGTTGGTAGAAGAAAATTAGCATCAACAACATGGTAAGCTAGGGCATTAAGATTATAAAATTAAAAACAATAACTCAGAAGATTGTCATTGGTGTTTGCAAAACATCATAAGAAGATAATATGGAATCTTGTTTATAGTTGCAATTACAACAGAGGTGAACCATTTAACTATTGATGGTGAAAACTATATTCAATACCCTCAAATATTAGAGAACGTTCTGATGTAAAGAACAATCACTTTTATGATTGTGAAATGGTACAGGTGAATCATCAGAATTCAAAGATTCAAAGCTAAAATAATCCAATTAGTCGTTACTACTAGATTATGCATTCAGAGCCTGTAATATATCCAAGTACAACACTAAGGCAGAGAAAGAATCGTCCAGAAAGGTTTTAGGGGAACTGGTAAAGAAATAAATATCTATGCTACATACTTGAACCATTTCACTGACAAAGTTAAACCCTCCAGGACCAATAATGGATCCTGCTAGCAAGTATCCAGTGATGACCTGCAAGAATTTACCATTAGAACAATGATATAAGAGTAACATGATGAGATGGTATAATTTAACTAAATGAAATGCTCCGACATTGATATAGCATTGCAGTGAGTCATGAACTAAGCAGAGATCAAATATAACCAGACCGGTTGTCCAGCACAAGCAAACGCAATGCCACCACAAGTTGCAGATACAATGACGACAACCAAATCTGATATCAATCTACAAGGCAATAAACTCAGATTAAATTACCAGCTGAGAAAGAGAAATAAATTGAATGAAATATAAAACATCAGTACACTTACCGCAAGTCTAGCTGCAGCACCGGATATTTTGATTTAAAGTTTGATATAATGAATACATTATCCTGAAACAAACAATTATTTAGCAGGTGAACACTAGCAATGTCACCAACTCAGGATAGGTTTAGAAAAGCAATCACACCTTTCGATCTATCAATGTTGGGGTATCTTCTGGTCCATTCTCATTGTCCAAATTAAAAACATCATGAAATTTAAACGACCTAAAATGAGATTCAGAAGAGAAATGTTTCAGATGATATAGCAGCATTCATATACCAAATAAAAGCAAAAGCCAACTTAAGGTTTAAAAAATAATAAGGAAAGCCACTAATTTACAAGAAAGGAGCTTATACTTTTCCTCTTTCGTGTCATTTTTCTTCGATTTTACTCTGGCAACAGTTTCCAAAACTGCCTGAGCAATGAAAAGGTATCAAGAAGATATGTTCAGCAAAAACTTGTTCTAAATGAATCCAAACAAGGGGAAAGATAAAAGCTCTAAACCAAGCAGACTTTTCTCAAAGCAACTAGATCAAATTTATGATGAACAAGAAAAAAAAATATCATAACCACAAGTAGAGTACAAGTGAAAAACACCGCCATTGCCAGTTTTTCTCATCACAATATAAATTTCGATTAAAAAACTACTTGATTAGAATCTCAATATATATGGTGAGCATTATAAAAGCATGAGTTAGTTAAAAAATTCTAATAAACCATAACAGTGAATCAAAGCGAATGGCATCATCTGCCTTCTTGAGTGCGTTGTGCCTCAATCACTGATTATAATGTTTAAATAAATTCATCTTACATCCAAAAGTAAACGCTTCATCGGAGTCAAATCTGCTGTCATTCAAAATTTGAGAAAAGAAAAAAAAAAAAAAAACCAACCTGCTGTTCAGCTACGCTGTTGTTAAAGCTTCCGGCATCAGTTGCTGCCGATATGACAAAATAAGTGAGGAAGGAACCATGATTAGCTAGGTGATGAAAATATGCATGCAATGATCCGGTGATTCACATCTTGCGCAAACAATAATCAACATAGTAGAGTCTCAGAGCAAATTGAATTTCTGGACTCTATTGTACTGTCATCTACCTTCACAATCTAAAATGCACGCAAGTAACTATATCATCAAATCAAGCCTAACAATTAAAATTGAATGAGATTTAAAGACCAAAAATTCTCAATAAGACTGATAAACCCATCAAGTTTTCGATCCTGAGATCGAGTTCGTCAGTTCTGAGAACGAATCTAAGAAGACAAGATCTAATCCTCTATATATCAATGGTACATTCCCCGTCAATAGAGTAAAACACACCAAAATGACACTCAACAAATGGCAAGCGTTAATAACAAAAAAATATATAATTAACTAAATTAAACATGATGAAATACTTCTTGAACGCAAAATCAAGAAGTAAACCCTAAAATTAAGAAAACGAACCTTCGTTTTGGTCATTCTCAGTGAACTCTTTCTCGAGAGCTTTATCGATCATATCAGCAAAACTACCGCCTTCATTAGGTTTAGGCAGAGAAGTGTTAGAGATTGAAGCGTTGGCGGTGAACTCGAGCCGATCTGAGTCGGTGAGTTCGTCAGCGAGTGAGAGGGAAGCGAAACAGAAGAGGAAAAAAATGAGTTTGCAAAGAAATGATTCTCTTCTCAACATTGCTTGGAGGAGAAACGTCAAGGTTAAAAGATAATTTTTTTTTTTTTTTTTGTGTGGGAGCCGGGTGGGGAGGTGCTCTTTTTCTTTGGGCGCTGAGAGAGAGGGGGAGAAAATGCAGGAGAGCGTAGTCAAGTAGAAGTCATGAATCGAATATGAAGGAAACCAGAAGCAAACCAGAAGCAATGATCTAATTCTCCAATTTGCTTTTTATTTATTTCTCTTTTTTCTTAGTTATTTTTTATTACTTTTCTTCTTTTTAATTCGAAACGGGACTGCTAGGTTTTTGGGAGTTTGATAATATTGTTTTTTAAAATATTTTATTTTTTAAAAATTATTTTTAATATTTACATATATGTTAAAAAGATTTGAAAATATAAATAAAAAATAAAATTTTTAAAAGCATTTTTAAAATATAAAAATAAGGGTGGTTTAGTTTTAGTTTCAAAAGAAAGGTGATGATTTAAAAGGTTTATTTGCTTAGTTTTTATCATCAAATCTTAAAAGATTGACTTATTCTTTAAAAGGTATTAGATTTGTTTTCTTAACACTTTAAAAAAAAAAAATTAATCTTAATTATCACGTAAATTAATCCAATATTATCCTTTAAATTTGAAAAATAAAATCAATTGGGTTCTGCAATACGTACACCAGGTGATATGCTCAAAAATATTTTCTTAATGAATGTTTTGATTTAAATATGAATAATTTGTGCGTGTAACAGTGCCACAGGCAGAAGTATACTTTGTTTGAAAATAGTGACTGTTTTTATTTTATTTTCTTAGAGAACCACAAATTAGGGAGACAAGGGAGTTAAGAGAAATGCAAGTTGGGTGCTTTTGTAGCTGTGTCCTTGACTAGAGTTCAAAACCCATGATCGACCATGACAGTGCTTTCAGGGTGGTCTACTTTGTTAGGCATGTCGGTCCAAAACGTGTGGGTATGGAACCAATATAATTTTATATATATTACAAAATTTTCATTACATTTATAAAACTCTCTTCTTATTTCTATAAAGAAAAGGTAAGATCCAACTAAAAGTAACCAATAATCGGCTGAGGAGTAGTGTTTGTCAAACAAAGCTGAGTGAGTTTCTTAATAAAGAAACCAAAACTAGCTTCTCGAGATCCTCACACCCAATGCATCCCCAGCATGTTGCTGCAGCTCTTGTTGCCGGATTGCCAACGTGCATCCCCAGCATGTTGCTGCTGCAGCTCTTGTTGCCGGATTGCCAAGATATACAGTAGATTAATCATTCTTCATTGAAATTCAATTGAGTGGAATAAAAGAAGATACCCTTTGATCTCCATCATTTTCAGCCAAAAAACCAAAAACACTTTACGACGGCAAAAACAAAACAGCCACAATCATGAGAGCTTCCAGCCCCGCGGTGGGATTCTGGCAGAGCAGTTCAGGTTTCTCTGCACGGAGAGCTTTGATAAAGGCTCTTAAAATTTAATACTGTAGCTGGAAATTTACTACGTCAACATTAAATGGCATGAACAGCATTTTTAGCTTTACAGCCCGTATATAAGCACTAAATTGCTCCCTGTAAATGTCCTACATATTTTCTTTTTCTTCATTTCATATATTTACAACCTCCTGCATAAAGAGGGAAGCTGTCACGGTTTCGTCTCAAACATGGACCAAATCCTGAAGGGCATGCCACAGACGGATATTAATTACCCTCACTGAGGAGCGGTCTACTAGTCTAGAAATTTATTAAGGTCTGTTTTGAGAGGTTCGCTATCGAATCTGCTATAACTCTGGCACTCGACTTCATGTAACCACCTGAAACAAGAACAAGTTACATTATCAAACAATGCATATAGCTAGACAGATTTATCCGAGATGAATTCTCACGATGTAACCAATCAAACAATTCATATCCTAAATGGTAAAGGTCAGATTGTCTAATTATCATGCATGAGCAACCTGGCCTAGATCGCCATAGACACTCGAGGATGAAAAATAAAGGTTGCAACCACAACCACACCTTAACCCAGGCCAGTTGGGGTCAGCTATATGGATCCTTTTGCGCCATTCCATGTGATATATCTCAATCTTTTCTGTCTGTTTCTGAGAGAAGCAATACAAAGGGAAGACAACATACTATTTCTCTTCAGAAAAGCAACAGGAAACTACTTGTAAGTCTTGAGATGAAATGAATCAAGGTAAGCATGGAAAAACCCTAGGGAATTGCTGGTTCAGATACTATACGCATGGACAAAATGCTTAAAGATTTGGAGAAACCCAAGCATCATGTTCACACCTCTGCATGGTTTCAGGCTTCATCCATCCGAAAATGGAACCAATGCAAGTTGTAATTTCTTAAACAGTTTCTAGCAACCTAATGCAGTTTGCAGTTTGGTCAACGACCATGATTACCAAGAAGCTGGATTGGATACAATTTAGTAATGGGATCATAAAATTCTATGGTGTGTCTTAGTATAAGCGGAGATGTAACTTAAGGGCCTCATATTCCATCCACCAAAACGGAAATCATAGAAGAATGAAGCATATGATAATCAACAGATTTTTCTTTGCAAGGGACGAGTCTCTCTCAACAAACCAGGCCATGGAAATTTAAAGCGCACACAGGTATGCAAGCAAAAATCCATGCATAGGCAAGTTTGACCGTTACAAACTAAGCATAAATTTGAAAACTGAACCTGATGTCAACATGACAAGAGAGGCATTCTTTTCACGAGCAAACCTGAAAACTTTCTCATCTCTGCTAGTTATTCCATCAGGGCTAATCTGCACCAAGCATACTATATTACACGGGTTCCTACCAGACTCATGATGATTAATTAACTTCTTATATGGTTACAACAGCACATCAATTTCAAGAAGCACAAACATTATCTCCTTTAGTTAATCAATAACAGCTCAAGAGAAAATAGGCCACCTAAATTCTATAATTTTTTCCTTAGATTCTATGGATGCATCCTCAACAGTTTCAAATCCAATTCATTTAATGACATCAGACTGGCATGATGAAAGTTATATAATAAACTGGAGATTATCATGTTGGTGGGATGATTAAAGCTCAGCTTATTATACAATTCATCTGGCATAACAGCCAAAAAACCCAATGACAATGCAAGATTCTCATCATAAGTTCTGCACATTTAGCTGCTATTACAGATTAAACACTTGCAATATTTTTTGCACAAAAAGACCCGAGGATTGTGATACCTTTAGCCTCCCTAATGGGTCTCCATCCAGGATATCGGTGCCAGCATTGAAGACCACCAACTCAGGATCAAACATTTTACCAGCAACCTCACATTCACACCTTGTAATAATTAGTGTTGCATAAACATAATCTATAAGAATAGAATCGGCATAACAAATGCGTCGGATCCAGGAATTTCAACGCATAAAGTAATAAAAGATCTAGAAAAACCTGTCAAGTGAAGTGATAACTGAAAGAGTGGCATAAAGTCAACACCAGCAGCTTTAGGTTACAAAGAACTATAAAGGCATTACCAAAATCTATATTGACATGCTGTGCTGATGCACTAACTGAAAGAATGGCATAAAGTCAACACCAGGAGCTTTAGGTTACAAATAACTATGAAGGCATTACCAAAATCTATATTGACATACTGTGCTGACGCACTAACTGAAAGAATGGCATAAAGTCAACACCAGCAGCTTTAGGTTACAAAGAACTATAAAGGCATAACCAAAATCTATATTGACATATCATGCTGATGCACTGAACATGACTAAGCTGAAAAGGAAGAGTTATAGGTAGTTCACAAGTATCAAGGCTATGGAAAATTGTTCAACAAATTACAGGTAGGCACATAGCAAAAAAGGATGAAACTGAAACTGGCAAAAGATAAAATCAAGGAACCCAGTGAATGCTATAAGATGGATGAAGTTTTGGAATAAAGAAGCCAGGAAATAGCATACAAAGAAGACTATCATGGAATCAGACTGAAAGCTTATGCTCTATTGAGTTGATACAATTGAACAAAAATAGAGAGGCAGTGAAAAGAATTTTAAAGGAGGCCTGAATGTTTACCACGAGTGCTTCATCAAGTTTCACCAAGTACTCATCTGTTGTGGTACCACTCTGTCCACAGGGGAAAAGGAATGAATTGGATTCTGGTGCATAGTTCAACAACCAAAATCCAACTTCACCAAAAATTACGTACCACTACTTCAACCTTCTGATCAATGTATCTCCTAGCTTCATGATCCTATCAGAGAAATACCCACAGACTAAGAATTATAACTAAAATAACCACAATAAACAAATTATCTTTTTACCTGATAGCAACTCGATTGTTAAAACAGATGAAATCCACAAATTAACTACAGAGAGTGATATATGTATGAAATATAGAGAGAGAAAATGGACAGCTTTGAATTTATGCAACTTACAAAAGGATATATTTCAGGGTTGTACATATCCAGAATATGAACTCGTCCTGTCAGAAAGAAACAAAATTTCAGAACTATTTAGTCAAATCCAATATGAATTGACTAAAACATCGTGAGGGGAGAAGAACAGATAAACATACTGTCATTGGAAAAATCCCGTTCATGGCCATTTCCTTGGTGTGCATCGAGGTCAATTATCATCACCCTGCAAAATTTTGCAAACAGTGTGGATAGAAGCGTGTTCATAAAGGATGGTTGTCAACTGACTCTATAGCAGCATGAACAAAAAAAAGTAGCATCTACTTCATCTGAGCAGCAGCCATTACTTTGATATATCAAGCCGGTTGAAGGCATAGTGAATGCAAAGAGAAATGTCTGCATAAGCACAAAATCCACCTCCTCTTTCACTACAGCAGTGATGGAAACCTCCTCCAACATTGATGGCCCACCCTCGCTCTTTTGCAAGTTTCGCTGCCAGAACAGTTCCCCCTACCTAGGGTAGGGTATGATCAGTGCAGACACCACGCTGTGTACAGAAATTTGAAACCTTGCAATTCTTCTTGTTGTGATGACATGGACTTCAACCAAATCTATTTAATGAATCTAATTTGCTAAAAGTGATTAAAATTTTGCTAAATTTAAGGTCTTTTTCTTTGCTAAACCTATTGCAATGGTCAAATCTGTGAAGATAGTTGAACTTCATCAACTTAATCAACATTTGGTCAGACAGAAACATTGTGGTTCAATTTGGTGAAATATGGTTTAACCACAGAATCAAAGCAAGAAATGGAGAAGTGTGGCCAAATTGAGTTGCAGTTATGATATCATCTATAATATCATCTCCACTAACTCGAGCAAGTTCTACAAAGACATTGAAGAAAAGATCAAGAATAATCTAGCTATACAACCACAAAAAGAGATTTTTTTTCAGTACAGAACTGAATGTAGAATTCCTGACTATAATGCTGACCCGACTAACTTGGAAATGCAGTTCGATTAAGTTGGTCAAACACGGTAAAAATAGTAAGTTCAACGCTGTTTATTTGCATGGTGCTGAACTAGGATTGGTGATTTTTTTATTTTTTTTTGCACTCATTGAATTGCAGACTTTGCATGTGCACCAAAAAGGCCATCTATGTTTGGAACAACAGGATTGACCCCCTCATCTATGTTCAATTGGCGAGAGCAACATGGAAACCTTTGTCTTATACGAAGATAAAAATGATACACCAACCATGCAAATTTAGTTGCAATAGATGACACCTGTTCTAGATAGATTAATCCACCTTGCATAAAACACTTTGAGCCTAAGCGATCTTATGCATGCTTTTCTCATTTCTCATAGCATTTACGAAGAAATCCCAAAAGTTGGGAAAAACTCCCTTCTTGCAGCCATAAAAAGAAAAAGGATATCTGCCGGCAACACATTGCAGTGATGACATTATATTGTTGAGATAATATCATATTTTCATTTTGTTTGGATGTGTTGACCCTATTTTACATGTATGGGATGATTCCTACCAAAGAAAATTATACTGTGACATAAAATATTCATTAACTGTGCATTTTTTTATCAATGTTAATTCATTGGCTGAATGTCAAATTTAGAGAGTACCTATAAAATCCTTCGGGGTCTATATCATATTTAGCTCAGTTTTACAAAGTTGAGCAAATTAGCTGGATTGGGCAAATTTATTTCACGTTTATCACAATAACAAGAACTGAAAAGATTATCTAAAATCGCCTTAAAGAAACATGGAGTCTAAAGTTTATCCTTACAAAGTAAAAATAGAGGTCAAATACAAACTATACACACCTGCTTGCGAAATGGGTAAAGAACTTTTTGCTGCACAAGACAATTGGGAAGTAGCGCGACTGGGGGAACCTGTATTTTAGATCAAATACTGTCATTTTGAGATCATCACTAATTCAAAGTCATCTGTTATCAATTAAGTTTAAAAAAATAGCTTAGATAGGTTTTGTTTGCAAATTAGCAGGATTGGACAAATTTAGTCCATGTTTATCACAAGAAGAAGAACTGAAAAGATTATCTAAAATCGCCCTAAAGAAATAGTGTGACAGGGGACCTGTGTTATAGATCAAATACTATCATCTTGAGATCATCACTAAGTCAAAGTGATCTATTATCAACATAGTTGAAAATATTGCCTAGGTTTTTTTTGCAAAGCAGTTAGCATCCAATATAAAATTTACTACAATTCCATGAAATTAATCAAAAAGAAATTGGCAGTAAAAGGAGAAAATATACATCACCTCGATTATCATGGCAACATTTGCACTACTCTTTAGACTGCTCAAATATGACTCCGTGTGAACCTGTTAAAGAAAACCAATTAGTACAATATATAAATCCAGTCCATAAGCACTCATCTCACATCAATAAGCCAACTGTAAGGTAGTAAAATTATCTATCCAAAACTTTCATCCTTGCCGGGCAATTTCGATTGTTCACCAAACTCTCACACAATTTCTAAGGTAAAAATCAGAAATTAACAACACTCCAATTAAAAGTCTGGAGCAAGGTAAATGCAAATCAACACTGAGTTGCATAGATTGAACAGAAGGTTCTTCTCTTTGATGATTTTTCTCCCAAGCATCATATGTTCCCTTAAAAGCATTCAATACAAACAGGAATAAAAAGAGGGTGAAAGTTTTCAAAAAGATATAGAAAGTACCACAAGAAGATCATCTTTTGACGCTTCTAGAGGTTCAATGATACTATTTTTGTCTAGAACACCATCCACAATGAGGAATCGACATATGCGACCCCATTTAGAAGAATCAAAGGGGTGCCTACATCAGTTACAATTAGAGAAATGGGCTAGTGAGCATTAAGACTGAACTCAAAGTCCAAAAAGTCAAAGCCAACAAAAATATGCAAGAGTTTCATTTTAGCAATTCCAAATTATATGTCTGACTTATAGATGATTATACCAATAGCAATTCAGAACTAAGCCATGCGACTTCCCATAACAGCGAATAAATTCAAAAGCAGAAGCAACAATGTAATTTTTTCATCTCTTTAAGCTTTCTCTAGATCTGTAATTTTATCTCAAACGTCCAATAACAACACAAAAATAAAGTACCAGAAATGTCGCAGTGAAAGACCATGAAATTGTTAGAATTGCAGTGCCCACCAATTTATCGATTTCCCAACCATTCCAAACATCATAAAGCTTGTTGCCTTTAGGCATTAGGCAACATATTAGTAACCATGTTCATTGACCCAAATGCACTCCACAAACATTGCACGACTTTTAATCTATAGTTTAACTTATAATCATGATTTATTGAAAAAGACACCAGTGCAGAGCAAAAACTATGCTTTGAACTTTCCAGGGCAGCATATGGATACTAACCATGGTAATTAAAAGTTAAAATCATTTAAAGGTTTAGCACATAGCAGCGCCAGGAAAGAAGCACCATTTCATCAAGTTAGAAAACAGATCCGATTACTATGCCAAAGAAAAGGCATGACCAGGTTACAAATCTGCTATGTATTCAATACGTTCTTCCGCAGAAGTTCAATACTCTATAAAGTTTTTCAGTGAAAAAACATCAAATGGTTATTATTATAAGGACGCACAAATTATAATCAAATTTCAAAAACAATTCTAAAATATGATCAGATGCTATTAGCACATAATAAATTGCTTTATATTTAATCTAAACCACAGAAATCAACAATTAATCATACTGTTAAGTCTCAAAAAAAGGAAAGGAAAGTAAATATCAATACCATGACAAAGGTACCATCAACCAAGAAAGCAGCAAATTAATTACAGCTACCCAAACAAATACGACGATAAACTTCAAATAAATTATCTTACAGCTTTTCCATGCCAAGAAACGAAATATCATAAGCCTTCGAGTAAATTAGCGGTACCTGCTTGATCAAACATTGAAACACTCAATAATGAAATTAAATTGCTAATTACTTTATTTCTTAGAAAACAAACCTTAGAGAGAGGCACGTCAAAATAGAGCTTGCTAGAGAGAATACGATTTCGGCGGAGAGTAGAGGCATCTGCAGTACTGTTACTCGTTGAAGATGAAGAAGATGACATTGTTAAAGAGCGAATGCAGCGGTAGAGAGAATGTGATGCTTTGATAGCGGCGATTGTGAGGAAGAAATATAGCGTTGATTTGCCGAGATTCCGAGTTGACTCAGTGATTACTGGTGTGACTCGGAACGTCATCAAGATTTTTCAAATGAAAAAAAAAAAAAAATCGGTGTTAGCGTGGTAACGGTACTGTAGAAGAAAGTAGAAGTGAAAGACGAACGGTTGGGTTTACCGATCAGGCGATGGAAACTTTTGACTGTTTTACACGTGCTAAATTTGGTAATGTTGTTGTGATGAATTCTAGTGGTGGGCTGCCGTACTAATGGACCCCGTTGTATGTACATGGCCCTGGCCTGGGTATGTGTTTTAATTAAAATAGCTTAATTACTAAACTCATCCGGTATATCGGGTAGATCCGGAACAGACTGGGATGGGCTTAAAAAAAACACCACGTGAGTTAAACTAGACAAAGTTAAAGTGATCTGGCGTCAACTTCTCATCCGGTCAAAACTAAACTCATCCATCGCAAAAAAAAAAAAAAAAAAACTAAACTTTGGGTTTGGCCTAGCGGTGGAAAGGGCTTGTCTCCTTCCACTGCACCTGGGTTCGAGCGCTGGTGTGCACGTATGTCACCCCCACGGTGCCTTACTTGTCTGCTGGGTTTGCAGGGTATTCAGTGGGCTATGGGGATTAGTCATGATGCGCGCAAGCTGGCCCGGACACCCCACGTAAATAAAAAAAAATATTAATTTAATTTTTTTAAAAAAAATTGAAGGATGATGTTTTAATTTAATTATCCATGCTTTGAAGTAGATTTGAATGTGATGGAGTTTAAAACATTGAAAAATACTAGTTAAATGTTAATATAAATAAAAACTACTAGAATTTTGAAATTTTTATGTCTTGGAAGATAATTCATAATCTTGGTGATTAAACAAAGAAGCTATAATGTACGCTAAAATGTTTGCATTAAATTTAATGGTTAGAGATAATAGAGTGTTATGGTAAGATAGCATATTAAAAAAATGTAAAGTAATAAATACAAATAAATAATTAGAAATATAGTATAGTTGAGAGAGAGTCGCAGAATGTCATTTGGGATTCTTTCAATAGAGACGTTTAGAGATAATTGATTCTATTATTAATTTTCTACAAAAAAAAATGATTTAGACAATCACAAATAGTCAGTTCTCCACCATTAAAATACAATTTATATAAACAGCACATAATATATTAAATTGCAAATAACAAATGTATACTAGCATTTAAAACAACATAACATTTTATTAAAAATTAAACTAACTATACATTTATCCACAATTATCATATCATATAATAATATATAATTATATCTAATAATCTTCTCTTTTCATCCAACTCGAGGTGGGACCTATAATATCCATGTAGATTTGAGAAGGAACAATATTATCCTAACTCGTGGATGGACTTGGGTCGCTCATAAATGAGTTTCAGATGCTTATGGACGAGCTAGTATCTTCAACACTCCCACGATAAGTAATTTCTTCTTCTGCTAATGTACTTCAAGACACTCAATCTCCCTAGTCTCTTGAAGCATGCCATAATATAAATTAAGCATGGTGTTAGTCAAAATATGTCTCATCTCATTAACACCTTCACAGGGAGCCGTTGTTGTTTTCCAAGCTTCTCGTACCAAATAATTAATCTATATACATATATTAAAAACCAATTAGTAGTCATCATTCACAATAGAAATATTTTGGTATTTAATAAATGTAAAATAATATTGCATACTAATCAATTCTATCCTGGATACTGAGGGGCATGGTGCCTCAAGTTGCGTGAATATCTAGGAAACGCAACTAGATCGATGTAATAAAATGATATGTAATGGATATATTCATGTCATATAGATATTTATATCATTCGTAGGTTGTCGCTCCTCAAAAACACGATCTCTCTTAACATCCTAAAAATCAAAGTAAGATGTATGAATTACTAACCAATTATCATCGCGTTTATTCTAACGACTAACATTGTGTAGCTCCTTTATGGTATTAACATAATCCAGTGTATATTGAGATAGTTTATATTATCACATTACCTGATTTGGACAATGCATTTCAACAATGTCGAAGTAAGGTGAAGGGACTTGTGTTAATCAAATGTCAAATCCCTCGTGACATATAGATGAAGCTAAAAGTATCAAGTACTTTGTATATGACATCCATATAACTTATCAGAACATATAAAACAATTATCTCAAATAATCAATTAAAACTACATAATTAGCTTTAAAATAACAAAAAAATCAAATACATATGTAATATATACATGATGCGATTGTTGTGCATCAAACTCATCTAGATAAAACTCGTGGACATGAATGGTATTTGCTATAAAATATCTAGTTTCATATCATTTGACAAGACAAGCCATAAAGTTAGTAATATATGTATTTACATTCAATTTATATAAATAATATGTTGAATAGAATTAATTATATTTTATTATTACTTGAAACCAATGGAGAGTAATCTTCGAGTGAGAGTATCAATCATGTTTTTACCCAAGCTCTTTAGAAGCCCGATATGAATATATTCTCATAACTAAAGCCATAGTATTACTACCACCTAACCTAAATGGATCATTTGCTCATGATGCCTATATAATTCTCTAAGAGCTACTCGAAAACCAAGCCAACTCCATACTAAAAGAGTTTCCTTGTATAGGCTTACTATTTAACTAGAGCACCAGCATATTAATCCTAACAAATTCAAACATTGAATTCACACTTACGTCACTACAAATTGATATACAAACATAACAAGCTTGACTAATTCTAATTTTCAATATTTTTCAAGCAATTTCAACTTCTATTTCAAACATATTTTAGTCAAACCGACCATATCATATTATCAATAATTTGTTAAAGAACATGTGTGATATAACAATTAGGAATTTATGGTTTTCTCCAATACAAGTGATATCATTGCCAATATTGATAATAATACCACCATGAAAACATAATATTCCTAAATTATCAGACACTATGTCAAACAACACAACCAAACACAACTATATTTTACTATAATCAAAGTATATCAATTATCAACAAAAAGACACAACTATATTTTACTAATATGATAGGGTTAATCAAAGTATATCAATTATCAACAAAACATAAATTAATCGATAAGCACTTGCATTCATCAAATTCTGGCATCACAACAAAATTATCAAATAAATTTATGTATTTTATATCTTTTGTTATTATTTTATACAAAATTCGATATAATTTATAATTTAACCTAAGTAAACACTAATTATCTAATTATATAATATTTTTAATTCATAATGTTTTAACAGGAGAGAAAGGTGAGTGTTTACGGCTGCTAGGAGGTATTTTTTATGACAGAGAGACATTTTGATCGGTAGTGATAAAGGTAAGAGGGGAGGGAGAGAGATGAGGAAAAAAAAAAACAGTGATTTTAAATTTAGGATAAGTCATAAATGATATATGCAATTTGTGTCGCTATACTAATTTTTTAAATATTTTTAAATTATTTTTATCAAAAAAATTTACTATGTTAAAAAACAGAAAAAGAAAAAGAAAAGGAAGATAATATACTAGTCTACTGGCGTTCACCAAACAACAAAGTCAAGCATAAATGCTTCTCTAATTTCTACAACTACTAATTATTTTCATGTCCTTTCCTTAAGATTCCAGCTGTATTAACCTGTGGTGAGTTTGTGGACACGTTCCTCCTCTTCCTCGTTAATTCCTCAAGGCTTTTTTCTAGATATCTGAATCTCTTGGTTTTGATCATCGAAGATGAGATAACGACGGGCTTTCTCCCGTTGTTCCGAGATGGAAACTTGCTCCAGTCACATTAAAACACGTGACAGGCTATAATTTCAATCTCTATTTCCCCACCTTACTCAATTGATTGTCATGCAATCCTTCTAATATCAAAACCAAACGCAGGATTTTCTTTCTTTCTTAAAGAAACGCATTTTCTAGACGCTTGGCGTACGATTCGTAATTCTAATTTCAATGCGAAGACCGTCCATTATATCAGAGAATCATTTGCTCTGAGGACTACGTTACTTAGTATTTCTTTTGTATTTAAAAAAAAATTAAAATATAATATTTTAATACTTTTTCAACCAACAAATACTTACAACCTGACAGATAACCCCTTAATTAATCTGTACAAAATGACATTCACGCGCTATCACATGTTTGTAAAATAAATATATTTAATAGTGTTATAATTATAAATCATCATTAAATAAATAATAAAAATTAAAAATATAATAGAGTAAATATTTTATAATAGAAAAAAAATTTAGTTTTTTTGTTAATAAAAAAAAAATTACAAAGCTAAATTTTCTAGCAACCTAATATTAAAAAAAACTAACAAAGATAATTTTGGAAAAAAAAACCTATGAGAAAAAATATTGTAGCAATTGATCATGTTTTGTAAGGAAAACTGCAATGCTTTCCCTGATAAAATAAAATAGAAAAACTATTTGCCGAAATACTGTAGTAATCCACAAAGTTTTGTGAGAAAAACTATAATACCTTTTCTATATAATTTAACTTTATTATAATTATAATTCTTAATTAATTCAATATAAATAAATTGATAAAGATAATTTTGAAAAAAATCATATGTGAAAATACCGCAAAAATTCACAGTGTTTTAAAAAAAATTATAAAGCTAAATTCTTAATCAGCTCAATATTAAAAAAAATTAGCTCAAACAATTTTAAAAAAATAACAAAAAAACACAAAAAAAATAATGTTGGAAACACTTTAGCAATTCACGGTATTTTGTAATAAATACTACAGTGCCTCCTTACATGATTTAGCCTTATTTATAATGACTTGTAATTGTAATTCAGTATTTAAAATAAAATAAAATTAACAAAGATAATTTTAAAAAAATTATAAAAAAATATATGGAGAGATATTGTAGCAATCCACAATGTTTTGTGAGGAAAGCTACAATGCTTTTCGTGTATAATCAAGTTTTGTTACAAAGTTAAATTCTAACTAACTTAATATTTAAAAAAATAAAATTGACATAGATAATTTTAGAAAGAAAATATTAAAAAAATAAAAACATAAAAGAAATTAAAAAAAACCATCCGAGAAAAGACTGTATCGATCTATAGTGTTTTATGAGAAAAAACTTGTATTTACTTGTAATCGCAATTCTTAATCAGTTTGATATTTAAAAATTAAAATCAAGAAATATAATTTTAATAAAAAAATATAACAAAATAGAAAAAAATCATGTAAAAAAAAACATTGTAGCAACCCACAGTAATTTGCAAAGAAAGTTACGATGATTTCCTCACATATTGTAACTATAATTTTTAACCAGCTTATTATTAAAAACTAAAATAAAAGAATATAATTTCAGAAAAAATTATAAAAAACAAAAAAAACTATATGAAGAAATACTAGCAATCAACAATGTTTTGAAGAAAAAATTACAAAACTAAATTCTCAATCAATTAATATTAAAAAATAAATAAATATAATTTTAAAAAATAAATAGAAAAACTATGTGGGAAAATAACCTAGAAATCCATAGTATTTTAAAAAAAAAGTGAAAAATAAAATTTTTAATCAATTGAATGTTTAAAAAGCAAAATTAATAAAAATAAATTTAAAAAACAGAAGAAAGTCGAAAAAAGAAAAGAAATTAAAAAAAAATAGAGAAATGCTACGTGGATTATTGATAGAGTAATCCACAATATATTTACGTGTTGAAAACAATGATTCGCCGTACTTTTTAATTATATTTGTAATAATAATAATATAATGTATAAATGATCGATTGTCGATCAGCATAAATGATCGGATGACATTCTTTTGAGTACAATGATGGGCTTCTAAGTTCCGTCTAGAATCATGAATCGATACAATCGTAGTCAATTATTCAACGATTTGCAGTTTTGAGTGATTGATGAGAGTCGAATCACACGACAAAAAAAGAGACGGTTTTTTTCCCCTCAAGATGAGACGTGTGGCAAAAAATTTACAAAGTAAAACAACTAGACAAAAAAAAGTCGAGGATATAACACCCTCCTCAGCTACACGTGGCAGAGCTACTCCCAGTAATTCAGCCAAATTAATTATGATATTATACACACACACACACACACACACACATTACATTCACATGAAACAATTCTTTCAGGAACTGGTTTTCGTATTTGAATTCAAAAAAAAAAAAAAAAACATTTGATTATTAAACCAAACTATGTGATTGTAAAATATGGAGCGATACTGTATTATCGGTATGAGATCTCTAAGTAGTTTTTAATTACTGTTTTTTTTTAAATGGAGATATTAAAGTTAAAAATGCTTTTGATTAAAAAGATAAAAATAAAAAATATAAGAATAAATATATTTATAAAACAATTTTTAAGTGAATTTTTACATGTTCAAATATAATAAAGTACATAATAAACATGTTTTAAAATATAATATTTATTTCTAAAATATTCATATAAAAAATTATTGATTCAAAACTTATATTAGCTAAAATATGTAATAATAAAAGTGATTATCATTATTATAGTTATAAAATTTAATCCAAGAATTGATCCAAAACAAGTCTTAGGTTATGAGCTGGAAATATTAACCCGGGTTGAGATATCAGGTTAATTTTTTTTTTTTTAAATAATTTTTAAGTTTTTTATTATGATTTTGAGCAAGTTGTAGGTTGATTCTAATTAGATCAAGTCTAATCAATCTTTTATATTTTCTTAAATATAAACTATTTAAGACCTTAAGTTATTCGTGTTACCGGATAATACATCAAATTAATTTGGGTTATATAACTAAGAGTGTTTTTTTATATTAAAATGTTTTTAATCCAACCCATAGAGTAGCAATAATTAGAAATCTAGTATTAATCAAGTCAATTTGAACTTTTATTTTTAAAAAATTAAAATAATATATTTTTTATAATTTTTTTTCATTGACTTTGCCAAAGTAAATCATGTATCAATGGATCGATGGGTTACCCCCAACAAGTTAAACGAGGTTTTATAAATATAATTTAGGTTGTTAATTCAGAACATCAACCAAAGCAGACATTGTTAATTAATTTACTACCAACGAAAGATTTTGAAATGTGATGAAATTAGATGGGGCTGGATTGTTACTCGTCCTCACACCCAATCCCCCTAAAAATGCCATCAAAATAATGACGGGGTGCGGTAATTGTCTCATCCCAAATAATGGTCTAAGCTGAGCTGTCATAAATCAAACTTTAACACGTATCTGATTTAATAACATTCTCAATCCTTACAAGCAACCATAACGACCATGTCCGCGTTAATTATTGTGGCTCTGATTTAATTAATGAATCCTCAACCACGTGGAGGTCGGCTCAACATCATTATTATATGAATAGTCCAGTGGTGTCCCACGCAAGCGGTCATAATGGACCACCAACAAGCTATAATTGAGTAGGGGCTGTGAGAATCTAATATAATTTTGTTCCACGTATCAAAACTTTTTTTTTATTTTAATTTATTTTAATACTTTTTTATTTCTTTGATATATTTATATAAAAAATAATTTTTTTAAATAAAAAATATATTATTTTAATATATTTCTAGATAAAAAAACTTTAAAAAGATTCACTATTACTCTTTTAAACTCCTGTTTAATATAATAATACCAGGTGTTAAATGCTTACGTGGATTGATATCCTCTCTCTCATTCAATATTTCTTGTATGGTCGGAGGTCCAATCAGCAAAATAATTTTGCTAAAGAATTCATTAAGGTTGTATAGAAAATATTTATTTGACGATATATTGGTTTTAAAGAGATGGTGGCGTCAAATGGCAATTTTCAAGACCCTATTTGGCCTCTGCCGTGCTGGATTTTGCCTTGACTATCGTGCCGTGATGTGTTTCGTCTATTATGCAGTATCTTGATGTGTTATAAAATAAAAATACATTAATTATTTGATAATAAATTATTATGTCATGATGTGAATAAATTTACTGCCATGCGACCATACAGCACATCATGAAATTCTAGTAGCTAAGTTAAAAAAATGGTATGGTATTTCAAATTTGAGATGTCACGTTAATTTAATGTTCTAGTACTTGTATTTGCTTCTGTTTAAAAGTCCTGTCAAACTTGCTCATCTCTGTATTTTATACCATGAATATTTCATAACAGGATAGAATGTTCAATGTTAATATTCATAATTATGTATATGTTTATAATTAAAAAATACAAGTTGGCTCTTAATAGAATTGTAGTGCTTGTATTTATGGATATACGTGGAACAAGGGTAAATATGCACCATTCGCTGTTTTTTAAGTTATAACTTATACAGATTTTAAGGCTTTTGTTTTTTTCTTCAAAATATAAGTAGCAACTCATCTAAAAAACATTTGTCCCTATGTTTTTTAAATATATACATAATTTATCAAATTATAAATATTTTGTAGTTTCATCTTTTATAATTTTTTTATATTTTAAAATGTACTTATATTTATAATTACTATTTAGTTTATTTAAGATCATATTTTTTATAATTACTATTTAGTTTGTTTAAGATCATATTTTTTATAAATTTCATCATTCTTATATGCTTTCCTGTTAAATTTCATACTTATTTTTTTGTTTTTTATTAATATTTTCTTAATAATTTAATTTTTTTTAAATTAAATTGGATGGTATTTAAATTTTTTAATTGAAATCAAATAAAAAATTTAATAAATTATAAATTTTTAAATTAGAATGAATTTAAGAGTTTCATATGAGTCTTTTTAGTTTTTCCTCCCCTTTTTTAAGATGTTTTTTTTTTTTTGAAGTTTTATTTTTTTTGTTTTCCTTTAATTAAGTCAGTATGAGTTATTTGATAATTTAAATAGGTTTGGGTATGGTTTTTTAGTGTTTCTCTTTTTTGTCAATTTATTTATTTTATTATTATTATTTAAATTATAACTTCAATTAATGACTAAAGACGACTTGAGTGTTTTTTAGCTTACATAAAAAAAAAAAAAACCTCGGGCCCCGGCCGAAACGCTAGCAACATATCTAGTTTACTGAGCTATATAAATATATTTTCACCAACGCAGTTAAAATATAAGACACACGTTAGCCCCACCTTAATAACAATCCGCGGTGTCAATTTCTGTTTAAGGATAAACACCGTATAAATTACAGGCCATCGGGTCTGTCTTCCGCAATTAGCAAACATTTCGACATCCTATTCTCTGTGGCTTAAGCAGTTTTATAGGTCAAATCAATCAAATGCAATGCCATCTTCCATATTAGGACTTCCTTCACGTGCTGCTCATAATCTCATGAACTCTCTATGCTTGCTACCTCCATGGATTTCAACAACAACAACATCAGCAGATCACCTGTATTATTATATCACTACATCCTCTTAAACCTTCATTATTATAGCATTTCGTGTTTGTTATATTTTGGCGACAATTCTGGTTGAGTATCATCTTTTTTTTTGTGATATTTTTTTAGCAGAGATTGAGTTCTTTGACGATTGGGGAGCGGATCTGTGCCTCGTGTATACCATTTGCGGCGATCATTGAGATTTTCATTCTGGCTGTTGGTAATTGCTTTGAGTGCCGGCCATGTGTTAAAAGAAATCGATGTGGTTTCCTAGATATAGCTCGCCTTGCCGATGGATCTCGATGTACTGCCCCTCTCTCTCAGTTTTTGTTATGTTTTGTTTCCTGGTGGTCAATGAATAATGATCAAAGGGCTGATTGGTTTCTCAGAAAAGCAAAGAAAATAATTTAATTTTAATTTAGCCTCCTGCATTAGCTTAATTTGAGTGAAGTTTGGGGGGGAAAAACATGGGTTTTGTGTTTGTTTTTGGGTGAACATGCTTGTATTTAGATTTTTATCTGTTTTAATAATCAACAGAGAAAGTGTGGTTGAGTTTTTAATGGAGATGATATTGCAGTTACTGTTAATGAAGTGGAGGCCTTGTACGAGCTGTATAAGAAGTTGAGTAACTCGATAATCAAAGATGGCTTGATTCATAAGGTGATTTTAATGATTTTGACTATTGCTAATTTGTTTTCGTTTTTACGGTGTTTGTCTGGCAAGGCATGGTGCCTGGATGGACTTTGATTATTATTATTATTTTAATTCAAAATAACTTGTAGAGAAGTCTATGGTGGTTGAGGTTGAAATATTCATGGGTAACTTAAACTTTCTATGAAATTGAATGGCCTTTGTGTGACTGTTCATTTGGATTTTAAAGAGTCCAGGTAGTCTGTTATGCCATTATGCATGACATAGCTGAAGTCTCCCTTATGGTTATGGTGTGTACTTCTGTTTTTTTTTCAATAGGATAATCTCACGTATGATCAATTTTATTGATGGATGTTTAAATCAGAATGTGTCCCTACAACTCATGATTTATAATATTAAGCTTTTCTTCACATGCCTGAAAAGCGGTGAAGTGAACAAATGGTTATGTAATTATCAGGTTGACAGTAAGAAATTTGTGTATGGAACTCATAAATGAAAAAAATAGGTATAGCTGATGATCTAAACATTGCAGAATGAAAAAAACAGAATCAATGCACTTGCTCTCTGGTGATGTTAAATTTCATAGCATTTTGGTTCTCAAATGGTGTAACTGATTGATCATGCAGGCAAACATTAATTTTTGTTGCATATTTGACGGTATTCTAGACTTGACCTTTGATTGCATGCTTTAATTGTTTGTGCTTGTTATCTTGCAGGAAGAGCTTCAATTAGCACTATTCCGAGCTCCTCATGGCGAGAATCTTTTTCTAGACAGGGTAATGAACCTTGAACAACTTCAATTACGTCCTCATTTCTACTGCTTCAATTGGTCTAATAAGTGCAAAAAAGATTTTGACACAAGCAATAGAAATATTGAACTGGCATTTGTAGATCTTTCATAATTGACTCGACTCCCACAGTGAAAACAACGCTATTGATCATGGATAATATATACGTGCATAATGTGAAATCATTTTACGTTTGATGTTTTTCTTGGCATAGAAGTCAACAGTTGATATTTGTAGGAGCCAAATAACATATTTACGTTTCCAAAAAGAAAAAAAGAAGTTATGACACAGAATATGAAATATGCATGTGGAGAATGGTTAGTGTGTGCCATTGGCCAAATCTTGTGCTGAAGAAAATATGGATATTAATGAGAGGAATTCCCTTACATTTAATTGCTGTTCTTGCATCCACTTATTTTTGTAACCGACTGTTTTAAAATAGTGTGCTGGTCTTTTTTTCTTCCCTAGCTTTTTGATCTTTTTGATGAAAAGAGAAATGGTGTAATCGAATTTGAGGAATTTGTCCGTGCACTCAATGTGTTCCATCCCTACGCACCCATGGAAGAAAAAATTGATTGTGAGGGCTCAAGGCTCAGTACTTTTCTTTTGATTCACGAAAATAAATTGGAATTGTGGTCATGTTTCATCCCCACCAACTTTCTGTTTTTTGACAGTTGCATTCAGGCTGTACGACCTGAGACAAACTGGGTTCATTGAACGAGAGGAAGTGAGTATCCTGTACTGGCTTTTGTTCTCAAGTGATTGCTGCCATAGTAAACGGGCAAGCTAGTTTAAATACTGAAAAAAATATACTCATAGTATCAACTAAACTTCTATATATTGGGCCTTCTAATGATTTCAGGTTAAGCAAATGGTGATTGCCATTTTATTGGAATCTGATGTGAAATTGCCAGAAGATCTTTTGGAGGCTATCATAGACAAGGCAAGCTGTAGTCTAAATATTTATTTTCTTGTTCCTACTTCCGACAATTACATTTTGATGCTCACATTGTACCTTCAATCTCCCTTCAGACATTTGCTGATGCCGATGCCGACAAGGATGGTAAAATCAACAAAGAAGAATGGAAGGCTTTTGTGGTTCGACATCCAAATCTATTGAACAACATGACTCTTCCTTATCTGAAGTAAGTGGCTTGCCTTGTACCTTGTGCACTTTCCCTGTTTGTAAAATTCGTCCATTTTGCTTTTTTCGTTTTGCCAATTTCTCCTCTGTTTGACCTTGACTGGAAATTCATGAAAACTACTGATTGGACTTTGCTATTATCATCATTATCTTCCAGGGACATAAGCACTGTCTTTCCAAGCTTTATTTTCAACACTGGGGTTGAGGATTGAGCATTCTCTAAGCTAGATGTCTTAAAGGGTTCAGCTTCTCACAGAACCGCTTCACTTGGGCAGTGTTTGGTAATGCATTTACACTGCGTTTGAAAGTTCTTTTCAAAGGGCGTAACATTAATTTGATGCTTTTTAAAGTGCTTCTGGATGATTTTGATGCTTTATAAGTGTCTATGGATGCTTTTGGTGCTAAAAACATAAGGAAGAACCTGACAACGCATCAAGTAATGTTTTGAGTACAAATGCATTTTTGCAAAAGCACTTGCACTGCATTACAAAACACAAATTTTATATTAAAGAGGCTTTCATCTGGATCAGAAAAGTCATATACTGACCCGGGGAAGGAACTGTCTACCTTCATTAAGCAAAGTCAAAACCTAAGTGGTCGCTTCATGGGAGGATCGCATGGTTCATCGTGACTAGCCTACGATCTATTCTAACCACTCTGCTGTACAGTGAGAAGGGAAACTTTTTGTAATGGAAAGTGGTATTATTGCTTTTAAATTTTGCATTTGGTTGTCCTGTGTCCGTTCTTTTGGTAATCAAAGGTTGCTGATTGGTGCGCGCGCGATACTGCGTGTGTGTGAACTAACTCGACAAGGATGGCCAGGTGGCGGGGCACTCGCAATTATTAGAGGCTTATCAGTCATGTAACAGAATTGACCTTTCAAATATTTGATCTTTTTCAGAAGTATTATCTCTTAGCTCTAGGAATTAGTGTTTACCTGTCCTCCATTGTAGGATCTCAATCAATGAGTGCAGACTCATTTTCTGTATTTAAAGATTGAAATGGTTAATAAAGAAATAGCTTTCTCTGCATCTTCTCACATGGTATCAGAGGAGTAAACCGATTATTTTTTTCTCTCATCTTCTCTTCCCTGTTCTCTAACTCATGGCCACCGACGCCACTAAGCCAACCATAATCAATACGAATGAAGCAAACCAAACCCTTGTCAGCATTAATGTTGCTGCACAAACTCTTAAATTAACCTCAACCAATTACCTCTCCTAAAAACTCTAGTTCCAAGCTCTCTCTGTAGGGTATGATCTTCTTGGATATGTTGATGCAACCAACCCATGCCCGTCAGCCACCATAATATAATCAGATACCACCAAATCCAATCCCAGATATGCTTTCTGGACCTGTCAAGATTAGCCGATCCTTAATGCTATCATTGGCTCCATTTCACCCACAATCATTCTATTCATATTCATAGCCTAAGCCAACACATCTAGACAAACTTGGACCATCCTAGCCAACACTTATGCGAAACCATCTCATGGCGGTATCTAATAAATGAAAAATCAACTCAAAAACACAGTCAAAGTTCCTAACCATTACAGAATTTATGCAAATGATTAAAACCAAAGCAGATAATCTTGCTCTTCTTGGTGCTCCAATTGATGAAGAAGAAATCACAGACAAGATTCTTGATGGCCTTAGCAATGACTACAAAAAATTGGTTCGGGCTATCCAAGCACGCGACACCTCCATTACATTTGAAGAACTTCACGAAAAACTTCTAAACTTTAAAGCTTCTCTTCAATCAGTCACATCTGAACCACATATTTTTCCAGCCACTGCCAATCCCACATACAAATCCAACAAACATAGGCGCAGTCCTCCTAAACTAACTACAGCTCCAAATGCAGGTTTTCATAGGCGCAGTCCTCCTAAACTAACTACAGCTCCAAATGCAGGTTTTCCCTTTTTATACGGTCCTCGACATTCTCCAAGGCCATATCTTAGTCATTGTCAGATCTGTAAAATACAAGGCCACATTGCAAAGCGGCGGTCCTTTCGCGTAGTACCCATCCAAAAGTCTGTCTCATCCACCACATCTCCAACCAATCCTCCTTGGCACCTATATGCTCACATAGCCACCAATTCTTTCACTGATCCATCATGGCTTTTGGATAGCGGTTCATCTCACCATGTCACCTCTGATCTTAGTAATCTCTTGCTGCATACACCTTACATGGATAATGATGATATCATGATAGGAAATGGCACAAACCTTCCTCAGAATTGGTGGATATTCGGATAATGCTTTTACTCAGTTATGACATTTACGACCAAGACATATAAGTGAGTGGGGGATAATAAAGTTAAGCAAACGAGATTTACTATATGATCACAAAACATGTAAATTAAATTTATGTGAGTATTGTGTTTATGGTAAACAATGCATGGTGAAATTTGGTACAACTATTCATCTTATCAAAAGTATTATAGTTTATCTTCATTATTTGAGGCTATTTTCATGTTTTATTAAAAGGTAGAGCACAATATCTATTGATATTTATTAATAGCAACTATAAAAAAAATTTAAGTGTATTTTCTAAAAAGAAAAAGTGATGTGTTTATCATTTTCAAGTGGTGAAAAACCTTGATTAAGAAGTAGACTTATAAAAAGATCAAGTGCTTAACATTTTTTAATGGTTTGAATTTTTGCTCAGGTGAGTTTGATGAGTTTTGTAAAAATAAAGGAATTGTTAGACATCACATTGTAAGAAATATTCAACAACAAAATGTGGTTGCAAAATGTATGAATAAGACACTTAAGGCCCTGTTTGTTTTTGTGATTTAAAAATATTTTTGAAAAAAATTGAATTTTTTTATTTTTTTTCTTTACTTCAAATTAATTTTTTTTTTATATTTTCAGATCATTTTGATGCGTTGATGTCAAAAATAATTTTTTTAAAATAAAAAACATTTGTTTTAATGCATTTATGAGTGAAAACATTTTGAAAAACAACCGCAACCATACTCTCAAATACCCTTTTAGAAAAAAAACATATTATATATTTTTTACAAGTTGTATTGTTAAAGGATTTTTAGGCTGAAGTAGTTAACATGACTTCATATTTGGTGAATAGATCTTTATCAATATCTTTAAGGTTAAAGACTTTATAAAAAGTATGGTTTGGTTCTTTTGCTAATTACTCTAAATCATAGTTTTTAAGCCCAGCCCAAAGAGCAATTCACGAGTTTTAATGGGGTCATCAAGTCATCCCGAGTATACCGTAACTTTTTTTATAAAGCAAAATGATATCGTTTTTGTTAAATAAATAGGCAATGAGTTGTAGTTAAGTTTTTGATCGGGTTTTGCCGGGTCAATTAGGTCATCATGTCAACCTTAGTTTTTTTCTTTCCTTATTTTTTCTTAAACATGGGTTGGTTTTGGCCCCAAGTTAAACTTGTCGGGTCGAGTTGAGTTTTAAAACTATACTCTAAATTAAAAGTATTTGGTTATCTTATTTAAGATAGATAAAAGCACCAGTTAAGTATTATTATGTTAATTTAATTAATTTTGCTTTGAATTTTATAGAGAATCTTGATGATCATGAGCTTTATTTTTATTAACCAAAAAATAATTTCTTGCAAAGAATCTTCTTAGTGGATGCTTGTTATGAATGAAAAAAAAAATTAAAGTCTCTTTATAAAAAATAAACATGAGACCTTGTTAAATCACCATAAGACTGAAAAATTGTTAAGTGCAAATGGACTTATAAAAGAAAAGAAGGAATCTCATAGGTCGAGGATACAAGATTTAAAGCACGCAATGTTGCTAAGAGCTTTACACTAAAAAAAAGATACTCACTTCAATAAAGTGTTCTCTCTAGTTATGAAACACAGTTTCATTTAAGTATTACTTATTATGGTTGTTTTATTTGATTTAAAGTTTAAGTAGCTAGATGTTAAAAAAAGTTCTATATGATAAACTGAAGGAGAGGATCTATATGAATTAGCTAGAGTGTTTCATTTCTCAAGGTAAGGAAGACTATGTGTGTTTATTGAAAAAAGATCATTATATAACTTAAAACAATCATTGATACAGTGATATAAAAAGTTTGATACTTTTATACTTTACTTTAAAAATGACTATGATAACTATGTGTATTTTATAAAGCTCTTGAATTATTTATTTATGTACTTGCTATTGTATTTTACTGACATATTGATTGCTTTCAAGAACATATCTAAGATCAATAGTTTGAAAAATTAGTTAAGTGAGGAGTTTGAAATGAAGAATTTTGATTGTAACTAAAAAGATTTTAGGTATAGAGATACATAGGGATTGAGATACTAACAAATTATACTTGTCATAAAAAGATATCTTGATAAGGTACTTAAGTGTTTAGTTATGCAAGATTACAAACTAGCAAGTACTCTACTTATAACCCATTTTAGGTTTATTTTCATCATTGTCATTGAAAAATATGGAGGAGAATAAATATATGTCAAGTGTTTTATATACTAGTACAATTGGGAAGTATTATGTATGTTATGGCTTACACTCGTTTAGACATTTCACATATTGCTAATATGGTTAGTAGGTTTATGAAAAGTCCTGGTAAAACTCATCAAAATGCTACGAAATAGATATAAACAGTCATCTTAGAGGTACTGAATATGTTAGTTTAGTATATGACAAATAGATATAAACAGTTATCTTAGAGGTACTGAATATGTTAGTTTAGTATATGATATAGTAGTATCGCTAAAGGTGGTGTTAAGAATTTTGTATATTCAAATTGTATTGATAATTCAGATATGAGAAAGTCATTGTCAGGTTGTGTTTCACTTTCTCAAGGTGTGCCATTACTTGAAAAGGAATTTTACAATTCATTATTGCATCGTCTATAATAAAAAACAATTTTACAATTCATTATTGCATTGTCTATAATAAAGGTTGAATATATGACATTCATAGAGACAGTGAAATAAGCTTTATAACTAAGAGGTTTGACTAGTAATCTTGATTTATCAAATGAGTTGATTGTTATGCATTATGATAACAATAGTGATATTCATCTAGTCTGGAGCAAAAAAAAAAAAAAAAAGGTTGTTATGCATTATGTCAAGTATCATTTCATTTTAGATATCATGTTATAGGATATTACATTAGCAAAGAAGGTTGTTATGACTAAGAACCTTACAATATATTAATGAAGTTTTATTTCTATAGTCAAGTTCAAGCATTGCTTGGACATGATTGATTTGTGTAGTATTATTTAAGGTGCTTAGTTAAGGTGATCAACACTAATATCTCTAATGGTACAACCCTATCATATACCACACTAATATTTGTAGGACCTTTAAGATAACTAAGTATCTATTTTATGATTTTACCAGGATTTAGATAGGAGAAAGTCGCTACCAAGTTATGTTTTTATTTTATCGAGGTATGTCATTAGTTACAAAGCAATTTTGTAATTCATTTATTATCTTGACTTCAATGGAGGGTGAATATATGACATTGATATAAGAAATGAAAAAAGCTTCATGATTGAAATGTTTGGTTGGTAATCTTGGTTTGTCGTATGTGTTGACTATCATGCATTGTGATTGCTAAAGTGTTATTTATCGAGTTAAGAACTTGATGTATTATAAAAGAACCAAATATATTAATAACATGCATCACTTTATTTTACATATCATATCACGGGGTATTGCCTTAGTGAAGAAGATTGTTATAACTAAGAAACTTGTAGATATGTTAAAGAAACCTATCTTTTACAGTCAAGTTCAAGTATTGCATGTACTTTATTAGTTTGTGTAGCACTTGAGAGGTTAATAGTGGAGACAATCAAAAGAGTTCAAGTTTCATAAGTTGACTAAATTTAAATCAAGATATAAATTTATTGGGTTTATTTTAAATTTTGGGTTCAAGTAAAAAATAAATATCAATGTATTTAGTTCATATAAAAGCCTAAAGTTATTATATTTTAGGGTAAGATTTATTTGTGAATATTTTCGTTCTCTACACTTTTATGGCTAGCAAAAGCAGAAAAAAAGTGACCTTCGAGTTTTTTTTTAAGAATTTTGGATGAAGGAATAATTTTGTGTCACTTTGTATTCTCAAATTTTCTTATACTAGATTTCTCTAATCATCTCATTCATAAAATAGATCTAAGTTGTTGAACCATGTAATTTTCATATATGCTCTTATATGATTGATTATGTATGATTATTATTGCTACAACATGTCATTTATTTTTTATATATAAATCAAGAGACTTATGACAAGTCCTTTATTATTTTTCATGCCATTTATACAAGGTTAAATTTTTTATAAAAAAAATCTTTATTTATCTTGCTATACCAGATTGCATGGATATTTTTGCTGGCAAAACTGTCAATGAAGGGGGCTATAGTGGTATTTAAGAGTATAGTAGCGGTTTTTTTTTTTATAAAATTTATTTTTTAAAAAATTATTTTTATATTTATACATCAAAATAATTTGAAAATACAAAAAAAATAAGTTGAAGCAAATAAAAAAATAAAAATTATTTTTTAAAATTATTTTTAAAACATAAAAATAAAAAAGTGTCCGGGCCGTAAACTCGTAATTTAGCTAATTTTATTATGAGCCGCTTTGGCTTTAACTTGTTCTCAGGAACTTTCTCAAACCATATTCGTATACTACAACTTTTTTTTTTTTTTAGATTAACGTGGGTGTCCGGGCCAGCTTGCGCGCACCACGACTAATCCCACGGGCCCTGAAGTTAACGACCATGTAAGCCTCCAGTGACCATCATATGAGCAACTAAGGACTCGAACCTGAGACCACAGAGGGAGTAAACCCCTTGATCCCAAGTCTTTACCATTTGGCCACCACCTAGATGGTTACTACAACTCTTTTAATATATCAAGTTAGGGTGTCTTTAAAATGAACAAGGAATTTAGTTTTAGTTGATGTTCAAACGGTTTTGAAAGTATCTCTTACGTTTGAATCAAACGACAAAAAGTAAGATCCTGCCCTCTATTGATCATTAGTCATTTTTGAAAGAAAAAAAAATCAAATAATATCTTTAATTTTACATATATATTTAAAAAAACAATGAGCACTATTTCTTTCCCTTGGTTGGGTTGGGTTGGGCCAGGGCCGGTGATAAGACAGCATCTTCTGCTTTAGGAGTTGATCACTTAGATGTGAGATTAGAACACGCAAACAATTACTGTGTACACTCTTCTCTGTTTTGCGTGAAACCCAGTCTGGGATAGGTAGAGCAATGGCAGACAAGGCAAGCAGAGGCTTAGTGATATACGGAGATGGACTGGCTTCTTTCATCAATCCTTCCCATGCTCATCTCCACTCTCTCGCTTCCAAAGCTTTCTGCGGTTTCTTAACCCTTCCCAATGCTCCTCTCTCAGGTTTCACTCACTCTCCTATTTCTCTTACTTTAACGCTCTTTTAATTCATATTGCCTATTTTTTATCACTTAGAATTTCACAATCTTGTTCTGGTTTTGTTATGGAATTAGCTTAGCTGTGGGTATTAGTATAAGGGGTTGCGATTTATGCATGCACAGAACAGTTTAATAGGATTATTGGTGATTTACAGTTTAATTGGAATTCTACTATCATGGCTGTTTTATCCGTGGTTGATTTTTACAATAAGGTTTTTAGGCTGCTATTCATCTTTAAAACATATTTGCTTTTATGGGTTAGAATTTTTTTTTTAATCTTTTCTATGATATGTGCAGTAGAAATGTTTGATCTGCTGCGTTGTGATTTTGATGTAATTTTCATATCCAATATTGTTACCGGATTTGACAACACGCATTAACGAATGTGGATGTGATCAATTTGTTATATTTTGAACTGAAAACTATGTTTCTGGTATTAAATTTTTTAGTCGTATAAGATTATAAAGTCTAGGCGTGCTTAATTTGAGTTTTTGAAGTTGTTGTGTATATGATTACCTGGACTTACTTGGATTTAGATTGCAGAAAGTGAGGATGAGAGGATAGTTAGAGAGTTTGCGTATCTGTTAGATGCATGTGAAGCTTATCAGAATGTGGTAAGATATCTTTAACTATATTTTTGGACATAAAAGAGTGGCTTCATGTTGTAAGCTATTGACAGTTATTGTTCATTTGTTCTTTGATTTTGTTTAGAGTTCTCAGAGTACCTCAATTCAAACCATATCAGAGAGGTATTGGTAGTTTTTTTTTTTTTTTCTCAGTTTATGTTTAGTTTTTTAATATCAGTGGCAGACTAGATGTTGATGTATATTTGCATGAAACCAATCAACATGTTCTATGATCTTACCTCAGGTTCATGGGAATGAAGGCTGCTATAATAACTAACAATCCTGGCTTGAAATCTTTTGGTGGCAAACTCGGTTTGACTGTGTTTCCATTCAATGACTTAAAGGGGAATGAATTTTCCCTTTCTGGATCATCTACTGAGTTTGTGACATTTGAGTTACTCAAGATGCTTGGATTTCAAGAGGGGAAGACACTAGAGACAAGTCAATTTGATTTAGTATTTGTGCATGTTGGAGCTGGTGAAAGAGTGAATGCTGAGGGACAAAAGACTATTGCCAATGATGTGGAATATATTGATGCTTTAGTTGATGGCATCATGCGCATAGCACAACCTGGCTCTGAAATTGGTTCTCGTCTGCACTTGTCCCTTGTAATGAGCTATGGTTATGTTACAGAAGGTGATGGTAGAGATTTATCAATTTTGACTTCTGAAGATGAGATGGATCCTGCACTTTCAAAGCTCTTCCCTCTTCAAAGTTACACTATGAAAGGAGAAAAACCACGAAATGATGTCAGGTAAGGATAAAAAAAAAAAAGGCGGTAAGCTTCTTTTAATAATTTCAAATTCCTTTGGATCCTGCTAACTTGTGATCAACAGGTACCATTGCCCAATGTTAATTTCTCAATGGCAGTATGCTGTAACCCGTGTAGATATGGCAGAAACATTTTCTTTTAAAGATTTTAAAGAGGTAAGTTTTAAGATTGCTGGGTTTTATTTTTGCAGATTCACATCTCATAAATTTATTGGACAGATTTAATTTATGAATATATGACCTTTCATTTTACCATCCATCATCAACCTATTAGTTTTGACTGATATTTTCAGATGATGGAATGGTAGGGGAGTTAGTCTGTCACTAACATCAGACGTGATCCCAAAAGTGGCATTTAACTTAAATTGCAACAATTTCTTGGTAAACTTTGTGTGTTTAGGCTTAAGAATTATCTGTATATAATTGCTTCTTGATTTATTTGCATCAAATATGTTCTATTCTCCCTCTTAATTTCTGGATCCTCCAGGATAGATAGGTCAATTTCTCATATCAGATGTTTGTCAATTTCTCATATCAGATCCTCCAGAATTATCTGTACATCAGATGTTTCTCATATCAGATATTCAAATGTTTCAGAATATCTAAATGCTTTTATGCATTTCCGTTAAGCATTTTTCCTTTTCTTTTCAGCATGGTGGAAATCTTGTAATACCAGCTGATAGATTCCTGCATGAGGTAGCATTTAAGCTTTGGAAGGCCCCCAAGTATGGAGCATAAAATAGGTTTTCTTGAAGTCGGGCTGTATGAGACAATACTCGACCAGTAACTCTTTTGACTTAAGCAGGAAAGTTAACCCGAGTCTTGAATGAATTTTATGTCCCTTGTCAAGCTGCAAACCAATGCCAGTGACCTTGTTGGAATTATTATCTCGATTTTGTCATGTGATGCTCATCTTTATAAATAAAAGGGTTTTCTTTGTTTGAATGTACAATCATTGTTGCCGTGTTTGACCATCTGTGTTTCCTCTCTAGCTGTGGAGATATAAATACTTTGTCTTCGGCGTGCATGTGCAGTAAGATGAAAGTAGATAGGTTTCTTGATATTGATAACACGAGAAAAAGCAAGACAAAGTTGTGCACCATTTGTTTGATACGCAACAAAGAAATTCGGTGATTATTATGATAGAAACCAGCAAAATTTTCTTTTGTAATGAGCAAGGCGTGGAGCAATATAACAAGGAACCTTTCGATTGATGAATGCATTGAACCTTCCGGGAACTAAATTTCTGCGAAAACATGTTCCGTGAAGTAAATGGAGTACATGATTCAGCCCTCGGCTCTAATGTTTTAGCAGTTAAAATCTCCCCGAAAGGAGGCAAATGCTGAAATTATGTTTAAAGAACCAATCAACCGACCCAGGAATGCAAAATCAACATTTCTCTAGCATATTTGCAATGCAACGTTTGGATGAATCTAATCATACAATAAACTTGATCTCTGGCTAAGATGTTTCAGCTTTTCCTCTCATTTCCAAGTCCCCAGGCCGGAGACCAACTATATAAATATGGCCAACGGATCACACACTGAGAAAGTAATGCTCCCATAGGTAAATTTTCAAGTATCAGTAAAGAACAATGAGTTCAATTCATGATGCTGCATAGATAATCTCCTAGCATCAACATGAGTTCCATGGTGTCGCGACTGTATTTCGTATTTTGAACATTTCCAAAACAAAAGGAACTATACCGGTTCAACTCCTTGCTCTAAACATCGCAATCACCATCGACTGCATGAGTTCTAGCATTCTAATAGGCTTTTGAAACAGTAAGTGCCCAACAGAAACCACCCCATTAGGAGGAGAGTGAATGAGAGCAGCCCAACTAAGGCAGGCCAGCCAACCAAAACTATACCCAAGCAAAGCACAACTGTGAAAGGAAGGAACGATTTGACTATTGACTTCCAGTCTATCCAATGCCCCTTGAAGAGTATTAGAACTGCCACATCTATCATGTTCCAATCCATTGATCCACCATAACACAACCGATTCAGACAGTTGGCAACAAATGAATGACAGTTGCATGTGAAAAGATTGTATGTTTTGTGATCAAAGTGACGCATGCTTGACTGTAGAGCATCATCCCACGTGATCGCAGTCCCATACTCTGAGTGCTTGTAGCCATGCTTGCATGTGTGCCCGGCTAGGTTTGGTGGAAAGCAACACTAATTTTACAAAACATATCAAAGAACAAAAGTGTAAGTGGATCGACTTGTAGAATACATTTTATAAAGTAATGAAGGATAGAAAAGAAATACCAATGACAACAGCAAAAATACTTGATAAATTCATTATTGCAACCATTTTGCCATCTTATTTTGGAAAACAAGGCAGATCTCAACATCAAGATGCGGCTAACGAAAGAAATCACTTTATTCAGTCAACCCGCCATCTTTGAGGTCATTATGCAATCTATGAGCACGGATCCTAAATCCTCTGTTGCCATTAATCTACTTTCTCAGCAAGCTATGACAGTAATAACAGCAACTGTGTCTGCGTGCATGCGTATGCATGTTGGAGGAGATGGGAGATAATAGAAGAGGATTCAAGAATTAATACCTGTTGTCTATCAAGTTGAAGATACCTAGCAGCTGAACCAAATGTAAAATCATCAACATTCACAGAATTGGATCCTGAAAAATCTAAAATAGTTCCATCCTCTCTGCAAATGCCAACATGTCCGATAAAAGGTGCCAACCATGAGACAACTGGGAGTGGAGTCCAGATGAGACAACATGGAAACTTAGCTTTCTTTGGATCAATTCCATCAAGAGGCCACAGGTCATGCTGAATTCTTGATGTGGAACTCATATGCTCAACATCAAGAGTTCCTTTTAAATCCAATGGAGAAAATCGTCCACGTGACATATAGCTTTGTGCACTTTCTGTGATGAAACATTGATGTGTCAAACTACACCCTTAGACATATTGAGCCTGTTCCAAAACAGGCAAGCAGATACATTATTGTATGCCACCAAGATGACAATCTCTTTAGAAAAACATGTTATAGCCCTTTCTAGAATTTTACAACAAACACAAAATGAATGCTATTAATGATCTCTCAAAAAAAAAAAAACTGTAAATTCCTAAAAAAAAGAAAGAAAGATAACAAGTAAAAGAGTTTCTAACATAGAAAGTTCAATTGAATCATTTTATAACTTTACGGTAATTCATTCTCTTCTGCTAGGACTGTAGTAAATGCAGTGACTGTTATATAAATTTGAATCTTTGCCACTTATGGCAAAGCTCCTATGTTCCTAGGACTGTACAAACAGAATATCACCCCCCCCCCACCCCCAGTCATAGATTTTGCAGGATTCTAAAGAAGCAGCAGAGTGCAGCATTGTAGTAGCCACTTGATTTATTTAAATTAACAAAAGGCCTTTAGTCATTGGGAAACAGCCCACCTCACTTGGAAGTTTTAAAGTTCCTGGGGAGTCTCGAGTTCAGGCCTCGTCCCCCAAATCATATAAAAAGGGTAACCATTAAGCTCATAAACCTTTAATTAAACATTATTTGCAAGACAATTATTATGAAATCTAAAATTATCTATACACAGCAAGATCTATTACATTAAAAGGGCATGTAATCATATACGCGAAGTCTGATCTATTACAATTATTATGTCTAAGAGTTTACAACTAGGTAACCACCTAATAAATAGTTCTAGCCGAACAGGTTGTGTTCTTATCATATATAGTTGACAATTCCTGGTATCATAAAGTTTGAGGAAGCTAAGTTGGTAACCAGCCAATTCTTTTTCTTCAAAAGTTACAGGGAAATGACCAGTGTCTTGCCACGGATGATATGCAAGTCCAACTCTAAGTAGTAATCATAAAATACACTGTGTATCTACTACCACACCAACCAGCATTTCATATTTGACTGAGTCAACTCCTCCTAGCTCAGCCAATATTCTGTGTCCATCACAATCGGAAAATCTTTTAAAAACTGATATATTATGGAGCCATATGTCTAGTTGTTGACCAAGCAGGACAAATCTATACAATCTTTAGCCAATACCTATTTTTATTTGAAACAGACAAAAAAAATTGTTGCCATAGTTAAAGAGTACAGCTCATCCTAGATACTTGAGCCAGCTACAAGATATCCTAACATCTATTTTCCGCTATATTATTGGTTAGTCATCTTTGTTTGCCTTAAGACCAATAAACATCAATTTTATATGGCCCCTGCCGTAGTATGAACTTGGAATGGACCATTCCCCATGTCATAGACAGCTCACTTATCTTGCTATCATATCATATTTCATTATAACCAAAGCACATTTAGATGCAAGTTCTTATGATCAAGACAAGAACATCAGGAGCAGAGTCAACTGAAAGAGACAAATTGAGTCTAGCAAAGGGAAGAGGGGTGATAAAGATAAGGATTATGTTGATGCAAGTTCCAATGGGTTGAAGTATTCCATGCAAGCTAAAATTCCAGCAATACATGGTGGCATGAAGGAGCAGTTGATTTCCAATAAGCGATGTCAACCTTGTTATCATCCAAGTGACAGCAGGGGTTAATATTAATTGTTGTTTGTCTTTATCATGTTAGTTACAAGCCGTTAGAATTTTCAGTTATCTAGTAACTTAGGGGATGTTGTGATAAAATTAAACCTTTAATTGATGTCATTCCCTAAGTAGTGTGAGGCTACGTGTTATTTATCCATGAAATTCTAAATTTGCAATAAAATTCTGAGATTTCCTTTCTTTCTTGTCTTCTCAATCTTTTTTGTAAAAATTATTGAGATTGCTTTGTTTGCAAGTGATTATCAAAAGTTCACAGTGTTGTTGGCATTACATTTTGATATATATATATATGCAATCCTTTTCGGTTGAAAGAAAAATAAACTGAAAATAGATAGTGCTATTAACAGCAATAATGTGAGGAGAGAACCATTCTTTTCTCATAGTCAGATTCCTTGTTTTTCCATTTGAGAAAGGACACAAAATGAACAAAATCTTCAACAGTCTACACTCTCACATGGCTAAAACCACCTGCATTCATCTCTAACCACATTAATAACAATCTAGACAAAAGTGGAATAAGGCAATGCACATCCTCTCTAAGCTACAAGGACACGTTAATAATCTCTACTCATAGTCCAACAGCCAATTTACCATTCACCAAAATGAACACCAAGCTTCACATTCTATACTAGGCTATCTTCATTTTGATGCAGAATAATTTGCAAAAACAAGTATCATATTTGACTTGATTTGGCTTATTCTATACTAGGCTTATTTGCAAAAAATCAACATGCAAAAATATTTTTCTCCACAAGGGAAATAAATATATAACTTATTCAAACAAAGAACTCTGCTCAACCACAAATTTGTCAAATGCCCCAAAAGAGGACACACTAAATGCAATATTTTATCTGATCATCAAAAGCTCTTAATCATATATGGCTTGGTGCTCAATATTTTCAATCAAACATATACATGAACCTGGCGAACCAGGAAAAACAAAAAAGGCCAAATCAAGTAACAACTGACGGTGCTTTACATAGCTGCTCGAAACCGGAGGCAAAGCAATAAATCAAAGACACGTATTTTTTCAATAAACCCCCAAATAACAAGCCTTCAAATTCACCTTTCCCTGCCTTACTTAATCATTATGTATCAACCCAAAAACAACCCAGAAGAGTTCTTCGATTATATAGTAAGATAAACCCACATTCAATGGAAATAAATAAAAAAAGAAAGAAACAAATGAGAGATTATAGAGTAAATTGGATCAATGACTGACCTGTAAGATTTGTGATGCAAAGACAGGAGAAGGGAGTGTTGATATAAAAAGGAGGTGAAACTGAAGCAAAGATCACAAGGTGGTTGTTGGTGGGGGTGGCGGGTGGCGGTGGCGGCGGTGGAGAAGGAAAGCAAGGAGAGAAAAAGTTGCTTTTGTTTTTCTTCTCGTTGATGATGGCTGTGTTCATTGTGAAGGAGAGGTACAAATATACTAAAGAGGCTGCTTCTTTTTTCTTTCAAAAAAAAAGGTGCCGTAATAAAAAAAAAAATCAAAATAGAGAGATATT